TGCACTGAGTAGATAGCGCGGTGGTGTGTGTGTGTATTATCGCAGAGTCGATGACAGAGAGCGCAGAGACAGTGATGATTATCGTCATAGACCTCCGCTTTTGCCATAGACACGCAGCCGTAGGAACGTCCCTTCGTCCGAAGAGAACGCGAACTGTTACCCAGTGCACAAGGTGTATGCAGTTTTTTGGCACTATTGAACTATTCCTACCCCAAAAACTCAAAAATTTTTCGCTGAAACGTTGCCTATAGATGTAATTCGATGCCCTGATCACGAATATCACATTCGTTTCGAGCGCTGGCGTCATTTGGCGCCATTATGCGCCAAATTGGCGCATAATGGCGCCAGATGGCAACAGCGCCAAAAATAAATGTTCGATTCGTAATCAGGACCTCAGTTACCCCCATATGCAAGTTTTCATCGACTTTGGTGAAAAAAGTGGTGGGCGCCAAATTGGCGCATAATGGCGCCAAATGACTCCAGCGCCCGAAACGAATGTGACATTCGTGATCAGGGCATCGAATTACATCTATAGGTAACGTTTGAGCGAAAAAACGTTTTTGAGTTTTTGGGGTAGAAATAGTTCAGTAGTGCCAGTTTTTTTTTCGTTGTTTAACCGATCAACCCGCGGGGGTATTTTTGAATACGGCGTTGTATGTCGCTTATGACAACGTGTAACATCGAATACTGTATTACAATAGTTGCTTCGGTCATACTTTGTACCCTGTCTATCCTTTTGTTTCTCTATGAAGTTGCACGCAGCCAGTCCTTGCTTGTCTTATGTGGTTGCAGCGACTTGCTTTCCAATTGGTTTCCTTTATCAGATTTTCCAGATGTTCCTTTTTCCCCACACAAATTATGACTTCGGATGTCCTTGCCGTCTGCACTTTTCTTTTTGTCAACATTCCTTTGTTGATTACTTTCAGAGCATACAGATAAGTGACGACGAGGAGTTTCACCAGCATCGACCCAAAGCACAGCCTCAGGTTTGTTATCACAGAATTCTAAGCAAGAGTCTTATAAGTTGAGCACCAAAGTGATAAGTTTCCTGGCATTTATACCTCATATGTTTACGATCTTAGGGCGTTGGGGTTTATAAGTTTCTTGAAAATTTAGCTCAGTGACTTGAAATTTTGTGGTTTCATTTTTCCCGGTATCGTCTAGCATTACCCACGCTTACCTAATTTCGTGCTGTTGGTGATGTTCTTTGTGTGTGGTGGTAGTATTTTTGGTTAGCACTTTGCTTATGTTTATTGTGTTGTTTCTAGTCAGACAAAGAAGCTGATCATATGGAGCAAATTGAAGTAGAAGAAGTGCACGAAGTGGCTTCGGAACACGAGAGCACCCACCACGAGAAAACCGAAGTGGTTCAGCACGAGAGTCAACCGGCCGCCGAGGATGAACCCGTCGTCCCTGCAGAGGTTGAAGGTGATCTGCTTGAGGCCGTGTTCTCAGCATTTCCAGCAGAGACACCGGATGAAACCAAAGTGGTCTCAGCAGAGCCGGAAATTCTGACGAAAACCAACGAGTTGCCACTCGTCCAGATCACCAACGCTCGTCCACCATCTCGCACTAACTCCACGAATTCGTCACACGAAAGCGCCGTCGATGTGCAGCCGCATGTATGTGTCTTGGTTTTTGGATTTGGTTTCTTTTTTCGGAGTGTTTAATCCTTTATGTTTAACACATTACTCAGTTATGTTACCAGGTTTTTCTTAACTTTAGTGTTGGGGAAGCTATCTTAGTATCATAACTCAGCACCGCTTTTTGTGTCCGTAGATGAGGTTTAATCGTACTGACAATTTGATTAGACAGGTTCTGACCACGGAAGTCAGCAAACTTACCATGGAACTTTGAATGGAGACCTGGGTAGATCGATAGAGTCTATAAGGTTATTTACAAATATAGATAGCAAAACTGCAACCTGCATTTCACAACTTATGAGCAGGTAAAGTTTGTAATGGTGCAGTAGGGTGGAGGCTTGGTGGTGAGCTGTGAAGCATAAGCGAGGAATCGCATACGTCGAATCGAGTCGTGGTGGTTCAGTGGTAAGGTTCGACGTTCGACGACTCGATTCGACGTATGCGATTCCTCGCTTATGCTTCACAGCTCACCACCAAGCCTCCACCCTACTGCACCATTACAAACTTTACCTGCTCATAAGTTGCTTGTGAAATGCAGGTTGCAGTTTTGCTATCTATATTTGTAAATAACCTTACTCTATCGATCTACCCAGGTCTCCATTCAAAATCCATGGTAAGTTGGCGGTTACCCTCGTTAGGCTACATACGTTGAAGTTCCTGTGGAACTACAGCACCACTGCTTCCTGGCTGAAATTCCTCAGTTACCAGAAGGAGCGCACCTATGCGAATAAGCAGTAGTTCTGACCAAAGCCATTCTTCAGAATGTGTCCTTAGGGGGGGGGGGGTATTTAATACAAGTTTTGCTTCGCGATAGAGCAAAGCAGTTGAGAGGTATGCAAGCAATTAGTGATGTTCAGCGGATTGCAGTCTTGTGTAGAATGGAGTGTTTTTGACAGCTCCTATGGGAAAGCATGCCTACGTTACATGAGGTTTTTTTCGACTTTTGACAGACTTATTGCCAAAATTCCTTTCATACTCTTATTTACTTGCAACCATTTCAAGGAGAAAAATAAAATTATTGCGAATAGTAAACGTGAGCTCACTTAAGGCCATTGAGGGACTTGTCGGGTATTAATTGTTTCTAAACAACAAATATTACAGTATGTTCCGACATACCAGTCCAAGCGTCAAAATCAGCCTCAGGTTTCTCCGCCAAGCAATGGAAGCAGTCTGAATGGATATCAAACATCTACTAATAGCGGTAAGATTTCTAGTTTTACTGCCAGCGGCAGTCGAAGACGCATGTCGTAGTTTTTTCTACGTTTTTCATAAGCGTTGAGTTGTCTAGTATTATAACCTCCCAAAAGTTCGTATAAAGAATTCAAGTGAATGAACCTTTTCCTGCTAGCGAGGGCTGCAGTGGCGGATGGCGGACATCTGCGATGCAATCGGTAACTTACCTTATCGTATCTCCCATCCTGGGCTTGGGTTCTGATTGCTAAAATTCCACATAAGGACCCTTTCGCATGTTTCGGGAAACCCCCGGGGTCTTTCGAAACTTCTTCGAAAGTCTTACTCATTACTGGTACAGATTCTATTCGGTTCTATTGATGATTATTGGTGGTTATATATGATTTATATGGTCGAGATTTTAACACTGTCTTCCAGTCATACGGAGGCCTTGGGCACAGCTTGCACTGAGGAGGTGTCCTGTTCATAATTCTTAAGCTCTCGCTCTTAATTGTGAGAATGGTCTGAAGTTGCTGTGTCGTCTGGTTTGAGTGCTATGGGAACGCTGATTTGGTTGCTTGTTTGTAATGGATGCAGAGATAGCAAGGGTGATAAGTGGAGCGACAGTGTAGAAGAAAATGCAAGAACTGCTTGTAAACCTGCCAAATGGGCCCTTATTCTGTTCTTAGAAAAAAATATTCCCGCATCAGCTTCCTTCCATCACGGCAACATGCTGTGCCTGTTTGCCGTAAAGACCGGAGCGTTGATGGATCAAGGAAAATAGTTTATGCGTGGTTAGGAGGTGCTGTCGCCTTTTTGTGTAGCATTGTTGAGTTACTTCGAGCGCACCTTTCACTACACACCACTTATTGCACGATTACGAACCTAGCTCCCCTTTCTTCTGGCCCTGTTCACCCTACACTCATACTGCAAAAATCGCGAATCCCATACTTCACGAATATGCTAGCCTATTCTCATCTTCTCATGAATTAGCTTATTTACCTGTCCGTAAACCGTCATGGATAACCCAAGGATTGACGTCACGTCGCGGTAATGGAGCGTAACCAGGGTTTCTCAAGTTTACCTGATCTGCAGTCATAATCCAAGGCATGTGGCAGGGGCATGGCTTGGAGCGCAGCCAAACAGATTCCCCATCGGCTGTATTGGGCCCAGAATGGCATCATTTCTAGAGGAAACGCGCTTTGAATGCGCTGCATTCCACGCCGCGCCACACGCCCTATCGTTTGCAGGGATCACGACTGTACAGCGAGCGCATTACTGTTCCTATCTGATGTCATTCCGTTTTCAGTGTCTCCAGTAGCGGACAAATTAGACATTTTCTGTCTTTCGGCACAAGAAGCTCGTGAGAGACTGCGTCAGAACAAGAAGAACATCCATCGCGGCTTCGACATGTCGCTAGAGGAGAAGTACAGGCTTGTAAGCAACATGTGAGAGAGGAATGTACTGAGATATGTTTATCCCGTGACAACTGTAATCATTACAGATAACTATAAATCAGATCATTTTTATACTGTTATGTTGAGTGTTAACAACATATATGCTCCATTATCCCGAAGATGGAGTGGGCGTGGCTGCGTACTTCCTTTGAGCATGGCATAGGACACGTTTTTCTTGCGTTACTTCCCATCGGTACATCGATCTTGTGCTGCACAATGACATGGTTAGAATTTCACATTACTGCAATATCCCGCCAAAAGCGCAGCCGCCGTCTTGTTGAAGCGAAGTACGCAGCCACGCCCTTCCTGTCTGCAGGATAAGGAGTGTAATTTGAGTGATCGTTGAAATTTCCATATTTTGTGTGAAATAATCAGCCCATAGCAGATTCGTACGACTAATGGAAAT